ATGAAGAACCAACAGTTGATAATAATCAGAGGGCCATACTAGACTAGAGAGTTTTCTAGGAAAATCCTTTACCTGGTGTCACATCCAACTCCTGAGAAGAAGGGTGCACCCAAGATTTGTAGATGTCTGTGGTCAAAAAAGAATGGTGTCATGGTTTATATGGTTCTTGGAAACCAGGCAGGAATTTTTTCCCTGCCCTCTGCCCCCTGTATGCAGAGCTATCAAGTGAGCACATAAGAGATACAAAAGAACTAGCCTGGCTGGCTAATTGCTCAGAAATTAGTCTCCTAGAAAATGGGGGGGGATGAGGGATTGCACTTTACTTTTTTCTCTCATCTCCTGGGAAACAGGAAGGAGTTGGTGTGCTGGCTGTGGCTGGAACACAGATCGGAGTGGAAGCTCAGGGGTTCCTGTGGTTCTCTACCTGCTTGACAGTGACGGATCCTGCCTGGATTCTTCATTGGAGAGGAGCTGGTTTTTTTCTAAAGGTTTTTTTTTTTTTTGTCCCCTTTCACCATTCCTGTTTGTTTTCTTTCCCTGGCAGTGGTCCTTGTGCACATCAGGGGGAGACAGAGGACTGTGTTGCAAGATTTCAACCAGCCGAAAAGTGGTTTTTTTTTTTCATTGGGAAGACTTTCTCTTTGTTGTTGTTTCCCTTCCCCCTCTCCCTCTCCCCTTTCCCAGTGTGTAGGAAGGGAGGTCTAGTTTTTCTGGTTTCTCTGACATACCCCAGAGGGTGTTGCCCCCCCACCCCCACGTGGCGGTGACCAGTGATTCCACTGCTGGTAAGCATAGGGAGCTGCAGGGTCTGCATCTCCAGTGATCCAACAGCACCACCTGGTGACTGTGGTTGGAATTAAACCAAAGGGAGAAAACTGAACTTTTTACTTTTTTTTTTTCTTTGCTTGTTCATTGATTTGTTTTGAAGGGGATTCTTTGTGGGTATAGGAGTATTGTTTGGATGTTTTACTGGTTTTTTTTTTTCCCGTGTTTCTGCCAATACACAAATACCTTTTAATAGAGGGCTCTTATTTTTTCTTTTCCATAATTTGTTTTTCCTTCAATCGGAGCCTCCTTATTTCAGATTTATAATTGCTTAGAGGGAAGAGTTTGGGTCTTTTCTCATAACTCATCCTCAGCAAACCACCTGTGTATCATTTAAACTGGGACAAACAGTAAAAACAAGAAGGGTCCAAAAAGCTCACAAAGTTTTATTAGGAAATTACACACTCGACCTGGAAACTGGTATATGTTTTTTCCCTATCATCTAATAATAAGAGAAAAAAAAAAAAAGGATAAAAGAAGAGAGGCAAGAAAGAGAGAATGAAAGGGAGATCGGATAGGAGAGGAAAGGAGATTGCCAGTCCTGGGTCCAGTATTGATCCAGCTGACAGAGTGTCCAGGGTCCTAGGGGTGCCACCTGGACTTTGTGGGGGTATCTTTTTATAGGTAATTTTTCCCCACTCTGAGGCTAGTTTTCTTGCTTCTCATTCAAATGAGTTGGTGTCATGGTTTAGGAATGGTATTCTCCAATTTAGTGTTCACACTGAAACCACTTCAAACCACACAGCGCCCACTCCCTCCTCCTCCCCTACAGCAGGTTGGAGAGGTGAATTGGAGGCACAAAAGGTAAAGATCACAGTTAATATAAGGCAAATTTACTGGAAACAGCAATGAGATAGGAAAATGAACAGTAACAGCAACAATATTAATTAAAAATGTGTACAAGAAAGGCAAGCAATTCATATGCAAATGTTCACCACTATACCACTCGGAGCCTGAAAATACCTGACCACAACCACACTATCTTGACCCAGAAGGGACCCTTGTGAGAAACTCGCTTCGAATCTCACAGAGGATTACTTAATTATTTTGTTGGAACCAAGTCAAGCATGTGTATGGGGAAGGGTCAGGCCATAGCCTACATGGCAGCCCTGAAACCCACATGGCAGGCCTGCAGCCTCATGGGGCAGCTCCATAGCAGCTGTCAATCAAAAGGGCAGCCTGGGAGCATGCCCACACCACGCTCCCTGGAACCCTTAACCCAGCCTCTGTTTGGCTACACCATCCCTCACTCCAACCTGGAGCCCCAGAGTGGCCAGTGAGCCAGAAGTCCTGCCTGGGAGGGGTGACCACAGAGGGCCAAAGCACATAAACAGTGGCAAATGGCCTCCATTTTCTCTCTCTCTCCTGGGACCTGACTCTACCATATGAAGCTGGAGTTCCATAAGACTCTCTCGCAACAGCTATTTTTCTTCTCTTAATCTCTTTCTTTCTTTATTCTTCTAATCTATTTTCTGACAATATTTTGGGCAACTTTAAACTGGTGGGTTGGTTTTTGCTAAGTTGTGTGGGTTGGCATGGGCAGGGTTATCACTTTGTGGAATGCTCTACTTAGTTGTATGTTACCCTTTTAAACTTTTGCCAAGATCCTTGTTTTCTCCCATATTTATCTGTAAAAGTATCTCCTGAGAAAATGTGTGCAACATTCTCTCTTTACATTATCTTAAGGTATAGAACTGAAGGCTCTTCAAAAGTTCAGTGGGTGAACTTTTGGAGCCTTGTATATTTTTTAAAAGTAAAGCTCCTGGCTGAGCTTTTGCCTTCCCCTGTTCCTGGAAAATGACATGAGGTGGTATAGAATTACCTCCAGGTCCCAGCCATGCCCCCTCCTGGCTACTGCAAAAGTTAGCCCTGTCCTGGCCAGAACCAGGACAGTTAGCATGCACAGTCTATTCCCCTGGATCCTTCTAGAAATGGGTCAGAGGGCTTTGAGGGTCTTTGGTGGTCTTGATCCCCTTCTACTGGTCTTGCCCGCTCCTTGACTCCATTCCTATGTTTGCAGTGTTCTGTGTTGTGTGGTCTTCATAAATCAGAACAGGGAAGGTGGCCCCAAGAAGTGTGGTCCTACCTCTGCATGACCCCCTTCTCCAGCCATATCCTGTTCTAACACTCCTGCTCGCAGAATCGTCATCAGTGTTTGAGACATAGAAGCCCACTAATTCCTTGTTGCCCAGGCTTCTATATACAGGCCCCAGGGAGGCAGCACACTTCCTTATGGGTTGGGTCCAGTTGGCATATTGGGCCCTCTGTTCCCCTCAGAAGGGATTCACCTATGACAACTACCCTTCTTTTTTCCTTAACAGAATTGGTTGTGATGTGAGGGTATAGTGGGTTGACCGTGGCTGGATGCCAGGCACCCACCAAAGCTGCTCTGTCACTCCCCTCCACAAGTGGATGGGGAAAGAACATATAACAAGATTCATGACTTGAAATAAGGACTGGGAGAGATCACTGAACAATTAACATCACGGGCAAAACAGGCTCAACATGGGGATATTAATTGAACTTATTACTAACAAAATCAGAGCAGGATAATGAGAAGTAAAATAGATCTTAAAACCACTTTCCCCCTACCCCTCCCTCCTTCCTGGGTTTTACCTCTCCTTCCCCCTGCCCTTTCCAGCAGCACAGGGAGATGTGGAATATGGGTTACGGTTACTTCATCACACATTTTTCCTGCCACTGCTCAGGGAGAAGAGTCCTTCCCCTGCTCCAGTGTGGGTCTCCTCCTTGTTCTGCAAGTGGATCTCTGCATTCCCATGGACCTCCATGGGCTGCAGGGGGACAGCTTGCTTCACCATGAGATGCAGGTGAATCTCAGCTCTGGTGCTTTGAGTACCTTCTCCCCTTCCTTCTTCATTGACCTTGGTGTCTGCAGAGTTGTTCCTCTCACATATTCTCGCTCCTCTCTGGCCACAATTACATCTGTGCAATAACTTTTTTCTTCTTAAATATGTTATCACAGAGGCATTACTATCATTCCTGATTGGCTTGGCTTTGGACAGCAGCAGGTCTGTCCTGGAGCTGGCTGGCATTGGCTCTCCTGGACATGGAGGAATCTTCTAGCAACTTCTCATAGAAGCCACCCCCGTAGCCCCCTCACTACCAAAACCTGACCACGCAAAACCAATACAGAGGGGTAGATTGTGTTGTCCTAGGTGACCCCCCCATCCCAGAAGGACCTGTGTCCACATCATCAGTTGTCTGTCCATCCAGTTCCAGGACCTGTTGTATAAGGGCACCTGAGAAGGTGAGACAGGTTGGGAGGCGATTCACCTGTCACCCCAACAGTAACCTGCCTCCATTTTCCCCTCCCTCCTAGGTCCCTTCCTTCTGCTTGGTGGTGAGAGGGTGGGGGATCCTTTGTTTCCTATGTTGTGGCTGACTGGTGTGTCTGTCTCAGGGATGGTAGAGCATGATTCCACCAGTCCATCTCCTGGTCTGTCTCCCTGATACTCCCCATCATGCACACCTCCTCCCAAAGCTCTGTCACCAGGCTGGCAGCTCTTCTACCTGGGCACATCTACCACAGGTGTGCTCACTGCTGCTGCCAGACCCTGACAGGAAACTCAGGCACACCCTGCAGCCTGGGACCTGGATGGCTGCATGTTCCCTTGGGAACTCTGTCTGGGTGGCTGCATCTGTTCTTGTGGCTGAAGGGGTCACAAGGGACACTGAGGGCATAGCTTTCTGCCGGGTAGATACCATGGCTCCTTGCTGCAGGCATTCAAGCGAGCGGGAAAGAACGACACATCTATAAGATGCAAATTCAAATCCGCTTTATTATCAGAAGGCTACACAATATATAATCTTTTGAGTCCTGGACATGCGATCACGAGCACAGCATGCTATTATGATTGGTCAGCATACATTGTTCACGCGCCTCAGGCAGTCCATCGATTGGTGGTCTTAAAGCCCACATTCCTGGATAAAGTTTCTGTTATCGCTGTTTTTCACATCCCGCTTTCTGCTGACTTCTGCATTCTTGTAACCGTAAAACTTGTTGTTTGTCTAACGGTCAACTCCTGACCTTTTCAGAACTCAGCATATTCGTGTAAAACTGCTAAGGCCCCAACAGCTCCTGGTATTAGCTCCTTGACAGCAGGTTACAACCACTGTTTGAAGTGGTAGTGCCCTTCCTGCATACCCTGCCATGCAGACTTGTGCTCCTCACCCTGGCTTACGCATCCCATCCTGGTTACCATGGTCCTGGTTGCTAGCACTCCCTAGGCTGCTTTTTATCGGTGTAGGGGTGGTTATACAATGTTTAAATTTCCTGCCATTGTTCCAGCAATCTCCATGCTTCATCAGTGGCTCCAGCAAGAGCTGCCAGCTCCTGGCAGGTATCTCTGCTGCTCTGGTGCTTCCCTGCCTGAGGAAACCACCCTCTGCACCAAGATTTGCCGCTCTGCTGTGGGTCAGGCCATCTCCAGAGCATCTCCCCAGGGTGACTGACAGCTTGTTTCCATTAGACCGCATTTAAATGGGTTAAAATCTGTTTAAAGAACAGATGAATCATAGAATATCAGGTTGGAAGGGACCTCAAGGATCCAAGGTCCAACCTTTCTTGGCAAAAGCAATCTAGACAAGATGGCCCAGCACTCTGCCCAGCTGAATCCTAAAAGCAGTCAATACTGGGAAATCCACCACTTTCCTGGGGAGATTATTCCAATGGGTGATTGTTCTCATTAATGTTCCTCGTGTCCAGTTGTAATCTCCCCAGGAGTAACTTGTACCCATTACCCCTCATCTTTTCCATGTGACTCCTTGTAAAAGTCTCCATCTTCTTTATAGACGCCCTTTAAATGCTGGAACATGGTGATAAGGTCTCCCCTAAGCCTTCTTTTTTCAAGGTTGAACAACTGTGGTTGCCGTGGCAACAGGAAGTAGGTAACGATGCCCCTTGTCAGTTGCCGCAGGGTGGTGTGGCAGGGGGCCCCGCCCTGCCCATCCCCTTTAGCTGGGCAGCTCTGCCATCACTTCACAGGACCTGTAGCAGTGAGGTGGCCTGAGGAGAGCACAGCCCCCCTCTGTGAGGAGGTGCATGGGGTGAAACTGCTGGTTCCCCCAAGCCCCCTCACCCTGAAGTTCTCGCCTATAAAGTTAACTGTCACTGGATACCCTGCTCCTGAGTGGGAGTGCAACTAGAAGACTTCATTTGTGTGGGGGGGGTTGGTGTTGATTTGGTTTAAATTACTGATTGTGGGAACAAGTTATGCCAGCAGCACCTGCATTCAGATAATTGGAATCAAAAGGGAGCGTTTCGGCCTTGGAGCTGAGGAGGAGTGTGTGAATCAAAACACTGAGTTTGCAAAAAGTCCTGGGAGTTTTAGTTAACTGAATGACAACACCAGGTGCTGTTTACAAAAGAACCCTAATAAAGGGGAAACAAAGGGAGCTCCGTGGAGAATCCTGAAAACTGAATCATGGTGTGTGTAGCCTCATTTCTTCAGCACCCATAACTGATCACCATCTCTTGGAAGTGGCAACGGGCATCCTAGTGATTTCCTGACTGAGCCCACACTCTGTAAAGGGCAGACAAGCTGTGCTGCCCAGCCCATGCGGGAGTCAGTCTTGTGTGAGCGCCCACCTGTGCCTGCAGACTGAGGCATGAGGAGTCCACCCTGAAGGCTGCTGGAGTGAGGAAAGGGGAGGGAGCAGGCGCATAGATGAAGAGCAGCAGTCTGCCTGGTGCCAAAAGCCTGAGAATGAAGAGGAGCTGTGTTTGACTTTTGTAGTTCACTTGAACAAGAGTTGAAATACTGCCACTGAACAAGACTGCTTGCTGGAAGCAGGTTACTGTCACTAGCTTTAATGCTGTAGTTGTCACTCTCCATATATTTGCCTATAATATGCATTATTATTTCAGGTATGTTATTAATTATCTTCACATTATCTTCACATCCTGCTATCAAGCCTCATTCCACTGCTAAACAGGTTACTGAAAGGCAGTGCTTTTTCATGTAGGCTGGATAATAGTGCCAGTGGCTTGCTCTCTATCTCTGGTTTTCAATGTCTTGCTCTCTTGTGCAAAAAGGGGAAAAAAATCCCTGGAGAAAATCATCTGCCAGGACTCATATTTCTGGGACATCTTCTGTCAGTATTCTGCTATGAACGCTGTAGTTGCAGGGCGTCCCCAGATGCCAGCTATCCCCTAAGCTTAGAAGTTTAATGTTCTCCACTCCTTTGCCAGGTATGATAAAAAACCTGGCATTGTTGTGCTGCTGACCGTTTAGCTCTTCTTTTACTCACATCCATTGATTTGATAACAGCTCTTCATCCCCCTGTTCATCACTCTTTTGAATAAAAATCCTTGTTTTGATGATAGTATTAATAAAAAGATGCTACCAGAGTATATTGTGTGCATTATTTTTTGAGGAGAGCACTGTTCCTGTAGGAGAGGATTTTTAAATTTAATTTTCAGCCCTTTTACTGTTTATTGTGTTTAAAGAGTTAGGAGAGGTGTATAAGCATGGAGTTTATATTAAAAATGGTTTTGATGCAGTTCTGCGTAATCTCTGAAGCACGTGTAGCATCTCTGTTAGACTTGTCTAGTCCATTTCAAATGTTTTCATTGAAGCTGATTCTTATAAGCTCAATAGCTTACATATTACAGGTGTTCATTCCTTTCTCCAGCTGCAATTAGTCAGGAAGCTACTCATGCATGTAGTGTTGGAATAAAATAAAATGTGTTAGAAGTTTGGATAATATCATTGAGATAAAGAGTCTTTGCTACTAAAGTAGCTTATTTGTACTGAGTCTTAAGTTTTACATTACATGTATAATTAGTAGCTTAATTGGAGAGAAAACTTTAAAGCTTTCAAGCTTCTTCAGCTGTGAGAGTGTGTAGAGTCTTCCCTTGCTCTGCTTTTTTGGTAGCTTAAAGCTTACTAGTACCTGGCATTTTCTTGGTGTGGAAGCAACTGGCTCTTCTTGCATCTTGTTAGATAAGAGACTTCTGGAGCCTGTAATTTGAAAGGTTTCTCTTTAGCTCTTCTTTGTAGTCTTTACTTTCTGACCATGCTACTAAAGTTTCTATAGAAATGAAAATTGAATTTAGTATTCTTGTGTTGATCTCATAATCTTTATATGGAGAACTAAAATCTGCTTTGTTCCTACTGCCAACTTGCACTTATCTGTGCACGCATTATCCATCTTTGTTAAGGGCTTTGCTTGTCTACTGTCACCCGTAAAATTTGGCAGATGCCTATTCTATAGGTATATCCTATAGGTCAGATTTCTATGCTGTAGATATATCCTGGGTGTTCAGATCAAATCATAATGTTTCTTTTATTATTTGCCTCTTCACCAGCTTCTGTGTCCTGCATGGTTTTTTGTAAAGGGCAAATGTCCAACCTAGCGGTGAAAAGCTTGAAATATTGCAGGCATTAATATTGGTATTTGGGAAACCACACTGATCATTAATTGTCTCTCAAGTGGCTAACCATTTCTCTGTTTCACTGGCTTTACACCATATTGTGTCATTTTATAATTTAATGAGACTATCCTGCACTGATAAGTCATTGTCTTGGTTTAATGACAATATATTCAGGAGGTGGGACCTTGTCCCAGTTTAAATGAGACACAGGTCTTTTGCTGAGGATGTTATGAGAAAAGACCCAAACTCCTCTCTCTAAGCAATTACAATTCCAAAATTAAGAGGCTCCGATTGAGGGAAAACAAATTGTGGAAAAGGAAAAAATAACAGCCCTTTATTAATAGGTACATGTGTATTAGCAGAAACAACAAAAAGAAACAAGTAAACAACCAAACAATGCTCCTATACCCACAAATACTCCCCTTCAAAAATAACCCGATAAACAGGCAAAGGGAAAAAAAGTAAACTGTTCAGTTGCGCCCTTTGGTGCAATTCCAACCACAGTCAACAGGGGGCGCCGCTGGGACACCAGAGATGCAAGGCTTGTAGTGTCCTGTGCCAGTCACCAGGTGGCGCTGTTGGATCACTGGAGATGAAGAACTTGTAGTGTCCTGTACCAGTCACCAGGTGGTGCTGTTGTATCACTGGAGATGCTGCCATGTTGGGATGGGGGGAAGAACACCCTCCGGGGTGTGCCAGAGAAACCAAAAAAAACTGGGTCCCCCTTTCCTTCCCACAAACTGGGAGAGGGGAGAGGGGGAAGGGAAACAACAACAACAAAAAAAACCCTCACTTACTCCGGCTGGTCAAACTGCCCTCTCTCTCCCCCCGATGTGCACAAGGACCACTGCCAGGGAAAGAAAACAAACGGGAATGGGAAAAAAGGGAAAAACCCCCAGGGAAAAAAAACCAACAGATCCTATCCGATGAAGAATCCAGGCAGGGCCCACAGCTAGCAAACAGCTGAGGGCAGAGAGCAGCACCAAGCTTCCCCTCTGACCTTGTTACAGCCACAGCCAACCCCCAGAACTCCTCCCCCCGTTTCCCAGGAGACAAGAGAAAAAAGTAAAGTGCAGCTCCTTATCTGCCCCGTTTCCTAGGAGACTAAGTTCTGGCAATTAACAAGGGAGCTAGTTATTTTGTGTCTGTTAAATGCTCACCTGATAGCTCTGCAGCAGTGGGCAAGGGGGAAGGGAAAAAATTCCTTGCCTGGTTTCCAAGAACTAGCTAAACCATGACAGACCTCTAATGAGATGTGTAGCAGCCCCATAGGTGTGTGTGTGTGCTCTCTCCCTTAGTTCCCTGCCACGTGGCTGCCTTCGGTACTGGCGCTGCCTTGCTTGGCTTGGGCTTGGCCTTGAAGGCTGGAATGCAGAGCAGTGGCAGCGTGCGTCCATGCATGAGGCTCTCTCCCTCCTCACTCGATGGCGGTGCAGCCCGGGGCTGGGACGAGGCATCAAGCGGCTCCAAGGTATTGCAAAAACAGCTATGAAGTGGCAAACTGCTCCGGGGAGAGGAACTGCTGAGTTACAGAGAGTAGCAATGCAGGGCCAGGGCTACCTCCATAAGTGCTCTGAAAAACAGTGCTATGTTGGTTCTCCTGGCGTCAGCACAAAACAAAGAGCAAGCTGACTGCCCAACAGTGAGTCCAGGCTCATCTGGACAGTGAAGGGACAGCTGGGTGCCCTGACAAAGACTCTGAGAGTCCCCGGCACTCCAGCAGCCAAAAGCCAGGCAGAGAGCACAAGTTTTGGTGTGTTCAGGTTTTTATCTTTTATCTCCCAAGTTCCC